TGTCCCATTAAGAGAGGTTTATTCCAGACCTACTATGCCTGTGTCTAAGGATGAAGTCCCCCAACAGGAAGATGTAGATAGATGGCCACACCTCAGAGGCTTCGTCTACCTAACTGAGCTGAACTCTCAAGTTGATCTATTAATTGGGTCAGATGTCCCAGAAGCTCTACAACCGAAAGAAGTTATTCCAGCTGTCGGAGGAGGCCCCTACGCTAGTAAGGTGGCGTTCGGTTGGGTAATCAATGGCCCAACAGGAAGAAAGCCAAGATATGTCCCTTCTGCTTGTTACCTCACCAAGTCTATTGACGTCCATCCTATGTGCGTGGCGTGTGCTGACTTTGCGGATGCGTGTTGAAATGACGGCACAGGAATGTCTCGTGAAGATATGAAGTTCATGAACATTGTGGAAGACTCTGTTATGCAGTGTGAGGATGGCCATTACCAAGTTCGTTTGCCCTTTCGTAATCCAACTTTGACGTTGCCTGCTAATAGATGCCAAGCCGAGCGCAGAGCCCTCTCGCTGAGACGTAAATTCATTAAGGATGCCAGATTTCAGGAAGACTACGTTGCATCTCTTGAAAGCGTAATCCAAGAAGGTTTCGCTGAAAAGGTTCCCTCTGAAGATTTGTATAGAGCTGACGGAAAGGTCTGGTATATTCCACACCATGGGGTGTACCACAGCAAGAAACCTGAGAAGATAAGGGTCGTCTTTGATTGTTCCGCTCAGTTCCAAGGGATGTCTTTGAATAGCGAATTGCTGCAGGGTCCTGATTTGACCAACAACCTGGTTGGAATACTGCTTCGTTTCCGACAAGACCCAGTGGCTGTAATGGGAGATGTACAATCTATGTTTCACCAAGTGCGTGTTCCTGTGGAGGATCGTGACTTTCTGCGGTTTCTCTGGTGGCCCGGTGGTAATCCCGCTAAGGGTTTGGAAGAGTACCGAATGACCGTGCATCTTTTCGGTGCAGTTTCGTCGCCTAGTTGTGTTAATTTTGCCATGCGTCGAAATGCTGAAGATCACCAGCACGAGTTTCCGCCTGAAGTCGTTTCTACTGTTCTGAAGAATTTCTATGTCGACGACTGCTTGAAATCTCTACCTTCCAGTCATGAAGCAATTAAGCACGTTTGTGATCTGCGCAACCTGATGAATAAAGGAGGCTTTAACTTGACGAAATGGGTCAGCAACGATCGCCTGGTATTAGAGTCCATACCTGTCGAAGATAGAGCGAAAGGAACTAAAGAGCTTGACCTAACCTGCGATGTTCTCCCAGTAGAGAGGGCCTTGGGTGTGTCATGGTTCGTGGAGGCTGACCAGTTTGGCTTTAAGGTGTTCATTAAAGATAGGCCGTGTACTAGGCGTGGCATACTTTCAGCGGTCAGTTCGTTATATGATCCTCTGGGTATGGCAGCTCCTTTCATTCTTCCCGCAAAGCTTCTCCTACAGGATTTGTGCAGACGGGGTTTGGGGTGGGACGACGAGGTCCCAGATCTTCACTTGACCCGCTGGCGAGCGTGGGTAGACGACCTACCGAAGATTTCCCGAATTGCTATTGGAAGGTGCGTCAAACCTGTCAAGACCTCGGATATCGCTTCATGTCAGATCCATCATTTCTGCGACGCCTCTCAGGTGGCCTATGGCGCTGTATCACATCTTCGCTTAGTCGACATGCAAGGTCGGATATTCTGTTCATTCCTCATTGGCAAGTCCCGCCTGGCTCCCTTGAAGGTAACTACCATCCCCAGATTGGAATTGACGGCTGCTACCGTATCGGTCCAGCTGAACAAGATTTTGACGAAGGAGTTGCAGATACCCATCGATAAAGTGATCTTTTGGACAGATAGCATGACCGTCATACGATACATCGCGAATGAGTCGAAGCGTTTCCATACCTACGTTGCAAACCGCGTTGCCTTCATCAGAGAGGAATCCAGCCCGTCCCAATGGAGATACATCGACAGCAAATCCAATCCCGCTGATGAAGCCTCGCGGGGCGTTACGGCAGACCTGTTTGTTCGTAATGGCCGTTGGTTAAAGGGGCCGGTCTTTCTTTTAACAACCGAGACTGAGTGGGTGGACCATGTCCAAGAACGCGCAGAGCTGACCGAGAATGATCCGGAAATCAAGAAAGAGCCAAAATCATTCGCTGTATCCGTCAGTGAAGTTTACGCAAGCGTTGTTCGTATCGTGAAACGTTTTAGCTCCTGGATGAATTTACTGAAATTTATTGCAGTGTGTCTTCGTTGCCAGAGAAGATTTCGATTAAGAAGGAGAGAGCCTGGCCCGAATGGTCACGGAAATGTTGGTCCCCTCAGCCTGGAGCCAATGTCTTGTCAAGACTTAGACTTTGCAGAAAGAGAACTAATTATGTTTGACCAGAGGAATGCTTTTCCTGAGGAAATTGAAACCATCAAGAAAGGAGGCTGTGTAAAGAAGTCAAGCTGTCTTGCAAAATTAAGCCCAGTCCTAATTGGTGGTGTACTTCGCGTTGGCGGACGACTTAGCAGAGCTCCTTTACCTGACGAATCAAGGCATCAGATAATTATCTCCAAGGATTCTCCACTTGGTGTTCTGCTTATCAGGTTCTTTCATGAGAAAAGTGGTCACTCTGGGAGAGAATACGTGCTAGCCCTCTTGCGCGAGCGATTTTGGTTGATTCGAGCCAACACAACGGCAAGAAGTGTACTGTCGTCCTGTTTCCAGTGTAAACGTCGCCATGGCCCCGCTGGAGAACAGAAAATGTCTGACTTACCTCGTTCCAGGGTCACTCCAGATCAACCCCCTTTTACATGTGTTGGAATTGATTACTTTGGTCCTTTCCTTGTCCGCCAGAAGAGAAGCTTGGTAAAGAGATATGGAGCTATTTTCACATGTTTGGCTTTGAGAGCAGTCCATCTGGAGATTTCCCACACATTGGACACGGATTCCTTTATCTTAGCTCTTAGAAGATTCATTGCCCGCAGAGGTCAGGTTAAAGAGATTCGTTCAGACAATGGTACGAATTTCACGGGAGCTGAAAAGGAACTTCGCGCTATGATCTCAAGTTGGAATCAGGCCAAGATTCACGACACCCTTCTACAGAAAGGTATTAAATGGGTCTTCAATCCTCCAGCGGCTTCCCACCACGGTGGAGTCTGGGAAAGACTTATCAGATCCACTCGCAAGATTCTTGGAGCCTTGACCAAGGAGCAAGTCCTTGACGACGAGTGTCTTCAAACCTTATTGTGTGAAGCTGAGAGTATCATTAATGGAAGGCCGCTGACCAAGGTCTCCGACGATCCTAACGATTTGGAGCCTCTTACGCCGAATCACCTCCTACTACTTCGCCAAAAAGAATCTCTACCACCAGGGCTGTTTGAAAAGAGCGACACTTATTCCAGGAGAAGATGGCGTCAAGTGCAATACTTGGCAAATGTGTTCTGGAGTCGCTGGAAACGAGAATATCTTCCTTCGTTGCAGGAGCGCCAGAAATGGTTTCGACCGAGAAGAAACTTCACTGTTGGAGACACGGTTATCGTTGATGAATCGACGCCCAGGAACGTGTGGCCGATTGGTCGAATCACAGAAGTGTTCCCAGATAGAAATGGTTTCGTGCGTCGCGTAAGAGTCAAAACCAAGACCTCTACTTTGGAGCGACCCATTACGAAGTTATGTTTGCTGGAATCAATTGAACATTGAAAGTGTCTTGTTTTCCCGGATTTATTCAAGAGACTTTGCGTGACTTTCACTGAGCTTACGTGATGTTCTATCAAGTTTGAACAATGAAGCCTGTTGAGGCACTTAGGCCTTCGTGACACTATTTTTCGCTTAAGGAGTTTGGCGTTAAAGAAGATTATTGTTTTCGATAGTTAATTTTTTGTGCTAGTTCCTGGCTCCTTTTTCTATAATATTAGGTAAATACAAGCGATTTGTATTAGGGGCCGGAATGTAAGCGCCAGGAATGTTTTCCGTTACCTTTATAGTATTTTTATGTTCGCCGCGTTCTTAGTTATTTTCGTGTTCGCGCCTTTAGTGCTGTTGTTTGGTTCATTAGTTTTTCATTGTCCGCGTAGCTTTGTCCTTCGTGTTAGAATTTTTCTGCATATCGTATATTTAGCTTTCATTGTAATTTTTCGCGTCAGTTCTTCGTTTAGCTGCGCTTAGTCTGGTTTACAGTTTAATGTTTGGGTTTTTGCTCGTCCTAGTTTTTCGTCCTTATCTCGCTATCGTCTTGTAAGTATCTCGTTTGTTTCATTCGCATTTCTAGATTGCCTTATTGCTTTCGTTCAGTTTGTAGGTTGTTCTATCTTGACTTTGTATTTGTTTAATTGTTATTTTTCAGTACCGCTGTACTTCGCTGTACTTCAGTATACTTCGCTATACTTCGTTATACTTCACATCGGTTCACTTGTTTCCCTTCACCAGTTGTAGAAGTTCTAGAATAAAGTTTGTGTGTTAAAACCTATAGCGCGTAAAGGCTGCGACTATAGATGGTATCATTCGTGTAATGAAAGTATCCGCGCCTCTAGTTCTCTGGCAGTGGCTTACGTTAATCATTAGCTAAGACCTCTACAAGGCAAGATTGAGTTTATTTGACCATGTATTAACATGACTAAAAAGATTTGTTTCTCAATTTATCGTGTAACAACATTCTTGGCGGAAATATTCTTTCCAGGAGGTACACAACCAAAATGGAAAATCAATGAAATTCTAGAGGGTAGGGGGTTTGACAAGCATCTCTTAGAATGGAAATTTCAGGGGCGTGGGGGGCTAAAACAAAAGCGCCATCCGTCGAGCGGCTATGGATATTTTCTGGGACTGCACAATTTAAATCTACTGCTAGCTAATTCATTGCTAATCTTTTGCCGTAGTTGCTGCTCTCACCGTTGTCATTGCGTAAGCTTCCAATTAATAATGAAACACCACAATCCAAATGAAAGACAGAAAATTTTAAAAATTCTGGACAGAAGAATTAAAAACAAAACAAAACAACAAAAACAACAACAACAACGTCTCGTTTTCAATCAGACTGGCAGGTTACCTTGCTATCTTTAGCGTCCAAATTAAGGGGTGGATCCCACGTGATGGTCATGTTGTAATCATCATCAACACTCGCTTGCAAATTACGAACTTGACCAAAGTATCGACTTATCAACACTGAGATCATGGAGATCTCTCCAGGGCCAAAGTCTGTTATTGCCTGAACAGAAAATGAATATCTGTGACCCCGCTGCAAGTTAGGGATTGTACAATTCGTCGCAGCACAAGTTTTTTGGCCCCTGCGTTGACCGTAGTAGCAGTCTGTACAGTTCCATTTGATCAAGTAATGCTATGAAAATTAAAACAAAACAGCAAAGCTGAACTTTTGAGGGAAGAGGTGAAAAGGAAAGACTAAGAACTACTTCATAATATGATACAAAAGCAAGGGCTTCAATACCCCGCTAGACGCAAGGTAAACGTTCACTGGGCTGCCTTAGGATTGAGAGATAAATGAATGATAAATAAATCATGCCAAAAAAGGTATCTGCCAGAACAAGTAACGACAGCTGATTGCTTTCTCTTTGCATGAATTTCTCTCCTCTTGAAAAGGTGCTTCTGACGACACGCTTGAAATATTTTTCTGTGACCTCATGCTAAATTTTAATTGATTTAATAGCCTGAATGATTTTTTTGCTCACACTGAGTAAGGATCTCTCTGTGAGAAATCGAATACTTTAAATTAAAGAAACGTAAGAAAAAAAAGCTCCTTTAATCTTCAAGCTATCACGTTGTGCAGCAAAAAACAAAATATTCCGCATTTAAAATGGAAAAGAAATTTTATAGTTTGTTATGCAAATTTTAACGTCTAGATACGGGTGAAAATACCACGCATATCATTCTTTCGGTGATACTTTACTCGCTCCCAGTCTGTGAGGCATTTTTGAAGGGAGAAAAAGCAGTTTTTTAACAACCAAAATTCAAGAATTTGAGGTTGCGTGGGAGAATCGGTCGAGACGGTTGTTAAAGTACATTGTGGGACTGCTCTGGGGGACGAATTTGCCGCCATGTTGAAAATGCGTCCCCCAGAACAGTCCCATAATGCACTTTGAAACCATCTGGACCCGGTCTCCCGTGTAAGAGACTTGGGAGAGACATTTTCAAAGTTTAGAATTGTTAATTCATGTTACACTTATCTTAAGAACTGAAATCAGTTTTTTTGTTAAATTTCAAGTCATATACACTTTAATGTACCTTCTCAGTGATTTAGGCGATTATTTATTCGAATGGCTGAATTTGGATACACAGCTCCTTTAATGAGTCTTTTTATTGTTCTTATCATTTATTCTTTTTCCTGTGCTTACAACACCGACTTCAACAACAAACAAACAAACAAACAAACGAGAAATTAGATGGCAATATGACACTCACGAACTAGTACCTTGCCAAAACAAGAACCAAAAAAAAAAAAAAAAAAAAAAATAGACAGAATAAGGTACCTTCAAAGCCCTGGGTCTGATCGTTCCAGGAGCAGACCAATATAAAACTACACTGTTGTAGCCCACTTTTGCCGTCAAACGGCCCACAGGAGCAGTGAAAGCATCTGTTCTTTTGATGACATGGACCGGTGGACCAAGAGAATTATCTTTGCTGAATCTTGTTCGCACCTCAAAGGTGTACCGAGTGTTGAAATCCAAGAACCTGAATGTAGAGCTTGTCATTGTAGCGTTTGAAAGTTCCATTTTATATCTGCCATCGGCTGTGTAGCTCATTGTTATCTGGTAACCCTAAAAAAGCGTACCAAGAAACTTTACAATGAACTAAGACGGGCGGTGCCCTGTAAAGGCCTTGTTGAACTTTTTACTGTGATTCAAAGTCAAATGTGAAGCCAGACCACTTTTCAGCAGTGTACTGAGTATCCTGGCCTTGAGTGGAAGTGGGACTAGAGGTAACCTTGGGCGCTTTCCATTTACGAAAAAAACCCGGAAATTTCGGTGGTAGCAAAAGTGGAATTTCCGATCGGTAAAAAGTTGTTCCTTTTGGTCGTAAACCCCGGTACGTGGCCGGGTGCCCGACCGTGGACCTGGAACTGGTACAAGCTACAAGAAACGTCAATGGAACACTACATTCCGTTCGGAAATTCCAACCGGGAAAACGGGACCACCTTTTTAGATTTTCCACTTTTTCTGGGAATTTTCCAGTGGGACGAACCGACGAAACGTGTTCCATTTACCGCCGAACCGGAAATTCCGGAAATTTTGACTAAATGGAAAGCGCCCCTTGTTTTCATAGAACCTCTCCCTTCTTTTAATGCAATTCATGTTCGTATGCACATCAATGACACTAAAAAAAAACCACTAGTCTCGTCTTAACTTTACAGCTAGATTAGCATACAACTGTATATTGGCCTATCAAGAGGGATGACGAGCTTTGCTTGACAAATTGAGTTTTCTCCAAGCCCGTTCTAACGTGTTTAAATCGTCGGCCAAGCTTGTAAAAAGGAAACCGGTTGCCTCCTACCAGTTAAGGTTTTAATCATGTTTAATATGTTCTTGTCACATTATTTGCTTCAAATAAGTTAGGTGAAGTTATGGCTAGAGCAGATAAGTGCCATTCCATTCCATTACAATAAAATAGTATCAGTACCATAAACCCTAAAACTTACCTTAATATCACTTGGATTTTTAATATCAGGTGGTTCTTCCCAAGTAAGTACGATACTACTGGCATTAACAACAACAGCCTTTAGACTGTGTACTGGCTGATAATCGTGATCTGAAAAAACAAAGCAACATGTAAAAGGCGTTAGGAATTAGAAAGGAGGAAAAGTGGGAGCGTTGTAAGCGAGATTTCACTGGTCAACAGGGTTGGTAAACGGTTACATGAATTTCATGAAATTTTCCATGAACCTTTTTTCAAGTTTTCAATGAGTCATTTTGAGTCATTTTATTCATAAATTCAAAAATTCATTGGTGAAAAACGCACACTTCTCGCTTATAGAGACAACTAATGCGGAGCTGACAACAAACAAAGTTATACGAAAGAGAATGATGAAAGAAGAGTTGAAAAGTTACAAAGATCTTTAAAACCTACAACCATTTTGGTCGCTTACCGCTGACTTAAAGGTAGGTAATTGTTTTCGATTTTTTTTTATTTTTAAGGCCAATTGTTATAAGGCATTTCCTGGCTTTTTGATAGATTCTGACCCGCATTTTGTTCTTTTTGTTTCAATGTTTCACCATAAGCATACTTGTGGCAACGTTGCACCTATAAGTGGGCAGCTAGCATGACTGTTGCACTTCGGCTTGTAACTAAAATCTAGTAAGCGATTATAGAGATAAATCCATCAGGGCATCATGGGGACGGTATGCTGTCGCTTTGTCGATCATTTCTGAGACCGCCTGTCGCCTTGCAGGTTAGGAAAAATGCTGCTGTCGGTTAAGGATAAATTCTTTTTGGTAATCAGTTTTGGAATTCACGGCAAATATAGCGCCTAGAAAGAATTATTGTTAGTAATCTTCTTCCTGAAGGGAGCGTCTTTTGATAATACCAACATTAGAAAACGAATTAAAGAAAATAACGGAAAATGTTTAAAAATAACGGAAGAGAGATTGTTATTTCGCTGCAGAAACAGTCCAAAATATAAGACGTCAGATGTCGCTTTCAGAATTTTTTCCTACTTTTCTGTCGATTGTCGGTGCTTTCTGAAAATTAAGATTGTCGCCAGGTTTCTGGGCCATGTCGCCTGCTGTCGCTCCCACCCCTTGGAAGGCCTCACTGTTCTGAGATAGTTCGTAAGAGAATAACATTCCCTCATTGAAGAGTAGGCAACAAAACCTAATGACCTGCAAACGCCCAATTTCGGACTAACCTGATTTAGGCGGCGAGTCGACAGTTTCACTGTGTTCCCCTGTCAGACCCAGTGACACTTGAAACACATAAACAACGCTCTGTTGTAAGTTGCCTACAGTGTAACTTGTGGCTGGGGTGCTACCCACTGGTACAGAACTAACTCCATTTTCCACTGTTCCATAGTAAATATAATACGTCTGCATGAGAAGAAGGAAAGGGCATGTTCAGTAGAAGTATTGGCAGAGAATCCGGAAAAACAACAACAACAACAGCATTTGTGACAACAACGAAATGGAAATGGACAATGAAATTCGATCAATATTAGCAGATGATGATGTGTTACTCAACAGAAATGCTCCAATGTTAAAATCATATTAAGAGCGTTAAAAAACGGGTCCAAGTCAAAGAAAAGGAGCTGTTCCAATGATAGAAATATTAAATAAAAAAATGCTTAATTGGATGGAACCAATGGACGTGTCAAGTATATCGTTAAAACAAAGAGCTTGGCATGGGTTGGATCGGCCTGGGTGCTCAAGCTTGGACTGAGTTCTTTTGTGAAAAGCATTTCGCAAACGAGACGTTCAATTTTCCTTGACACAAGGAAGAAGGCGAAATTGGCTTTCTTTTGTATTACGTAATCATCCCGGCATCCATGCGCCTCAAAGCTTGTGAACATGCTAGCCGATTCCGCTTTCCCGCCCATCCCAAATTCTTAAAGAAATGACCTGGAGACGAAGTTGGAATGAGCAACGTTCTAAATAAGCGGGGAACTGGCACGACTTACGGCCGCAAGGACTCTAGGGATACTTTAAAGGGACAGCAGAGGAAGTGAAGATAAGTAACATTTCTGGAACTATAATTGCAGTTTGGAACGAATCACCTGTAGTGCGCAGGGTATAACAGCCGGTTAATGAACATTAGTAAAATCCAACTAGTGGTCTATTATCAAAGCTGCGTTCTGATTGGTTGAGCTACTGCTAGGCTATATGTTATAGCCCACCAGAGGCGAAAGCGCCGGCTTTTTGGCGGCAAAAAAGGATTAAAGTCTAGCTTTAACGAGATAAAGTTGTTTTGTCTCCATATTTTTCACCAGCTAGTTGGATTTTACTAACACAATTATTCCTCTCTCCCTCATGGCCTCTGAGTCAACAGCCCATTCGGCCTTCGACCTCATGGGCTATTGACTCAGAGCCCATTCGGGCTCGAGGAATAATTGTTAAATAACCTGCCTGCCTGTCGCATATCATACCCAGTTTTTTACTCTTTTAGAACATGACGAATAGACACTTTATAAGGTTTCGTGAAGTACTTCCATTGTTAAGTTGCCAAGTTAAAGGCACCATACTAATCATTATTTAGGTTGTTGAAAATTACCCCTGCAAGACCCTAACCTTTTCTTGCGTTGGTTTGGGGACTGGTTCCTGCCACGTTAACTTCACAGCTGAAGAATTGTAAGGTACTGCTTTAACATCACGAGGTGCACTTGCTGTTACAAACAAAATCAGAGATGCTTACTTCAAACAAAACAACAAATCATCACCCAAAATGCCGCGACACATTTGGGACTTTATTACGGTCAAAAGCCACATTTGATTACAGTAAAAAAAAAAGTTGACGTGTTGGAACTTTAGCAATGAAGACGACGGCAACAAGAAGGGTGAAAAGAGCAATAAATCCTCTATTAAGTTCCCCGGGGGGGCTTATTTCAAACACATTTGTCGGGGGGGGGGGGGCTTATTTAATTTAGCAAAGACAATAGTATCAGTTCTCCATAAAGAACTAGAACGCGGAGTGGAAAAGCTCAAGTATAAGAAGGTTGGAGGTCACGCAGCCGAGGATCAAAAGTTCCATTTGGTGAATAAACCATCCAAGATAAGTCCACACGAAGTTTTACAGTCGTGATTGATTAATATAGTTTATCATTTACTAGTGACGAATAATAAGGGGCAGGGGAGGGGGACGCTTAAAGAGAGGGCGGGCTTAGTGATTAACTGTCTTCCCCTGAAAAGGGAGGAGGGCTTATTAAAGAGAGGGGGCTTAATAGAGAATTTACAGTACCTTAACATTTACAAAAATTCAACATTGGGCATCCAGCACGCATTTTAGAAGAGGACGTAAACACATCGGGACAAATTTTTGTTTTCCCTTCTAAACTTACCTACGTTGACATTTAAAGGGGCTACGTCACAAGGATACTACTGTTTTAGGTCACTTGTACGTATAACCCATTACTTATTAATAGTGTCGGATCATTTTACGTTTCTGCGAAACTGCCCACCTACCCCTCCCCTAGGCCAACATTTTGCCCTAAGTAAGAACTAAGTGTCAATGTTGGTTTAGGGGAGGGGTAGGTGGGCATTTTTCACAGAAACGTAAAATGATCAATATAGTGCCTTTACCCATGCATAAAATGCTCCTGTAGCGTTATGAAGAAGGTATCAAACAAATTTCACCAGGGAACAAAAACCATGATAATTTTTTTTTGATGAGTTTGCAGGCATTGTATTAAAACTTGAAACAGGTGGCCCAATTTTTTCAAGTTTCAATTCACTTACATCCTTGCCATCCGTAGCAAAAGAAGACTGGAAACAGCTGCAGTTTCAAGGCCATACCATAGTCTATGAAAAAACTGGAGCAATGTTTTTTGAATTCAACTGATGGGAAAAAAAGTTTTATCTTTTGAAAAAGATAGCAAATAGCACGACGCAGCCCCTTTAAGGCGAGTTGAAATTAAAGCCGCAAACTTTTAAAAAAAAGTGAAGTTTTAAAAATAGTGACGTTTTCGCTACCCTCGACGTCGTTGCAGTCGTAGTTAAACTTCGCAACCAGCAAAAGCAATACTTACCTCCATTAGTCTTTACCATAACAGCAGCACCAGGGCCTTCACCTTTCGAATTGTACGCCTTCACAATAAAAGTGTACTCTGTGTCGGAAAGCAGCCCTGTTACCGTGTAGTTGTGCCGATCTGCCTTTGCAAGGAATAGGAGCCCACTGCTCGAACTTTCATACACATTATAGCCCTGCGGAAAAAAATGTGGTTCATTGATTCTTTTCCTTTGTTTGTTTGTGTTAATGTATCACTGAACAAACGCCACACACACAATATATAAGCACGTAACTCTTGCAGAAAAGCGATGTGGGTAATGTTGTAAAAAAGGTTGTCCATATAGCTTCAACAAAGATAACAACGGCTTCTATAACATGTATAATAATAATATTAATACTATTACTAATAACGACGACCTCTATTACGGCGGCCAGAAATAAAAAAGCACAAAAATGTCGCAGTGCACATGCTTGGAAATGACCTCTCGTCATAGCGCCAAATCCTGCAATGTGAAGACCTGTCTTGTGGCCTAGTTGCTACTACGTGAGTATAGAAGTCAACTTTTTCCTTTCTTGAGCTATTTTGAAAAAACAGCTCATATGTCAGTGGTGTGAGCGTATGTATCTTTGTGGCTTTGTGACTGCAAGAGCCAATAAGATTGAAGGTACTATGAACTGATGCTTAGGAACCAATGAGATCTTGGCATCTATTAAACATAGCATTGCTAAAGGTCGAACAACGGCACTCTTGATTCTTCCCATTTTTTTCGTCTTTTATTACGGCTACAGGTGTTTAGAAGCATTACATTATATATCTTCATGATTCAAACGCTGTGTACAGTGATGCAGCTGTTTAAGGGTTCATATTTTAGTGTAGATGCTGCTTCAAGACATTTCTGACCGAATTCGGCTATCGCGAACGGTACAACGCACGTATTTATGAGTTCTGATTCACCTGCTTCAAGCTAGAGTATAAAAGATCATGTATTTTCACAGCTCTTCCAATGAAACAATAATTGATATTTAGATATGGACTTTAATAGTCCAGTTTCGAATTCCCCGCTCCTTCTGAGAAACCGCTGGATTTTCGTCTAGCAGGCACAAGTTTTGCACCGGGTCGAGGCTAACCTTGTTCACGCTTTCGCTCTTCGCATTCTTTTCCTCAAAATGGAGCAGAAAAAGGACAGAAAAAAAAGAAAACAGGAAGGAAACCGAAAAAGAAGGAAACAACGAAGCCGGGGGAAAGAGTGTGCTGCAGCTGAGTGCAGCAGCTTTGAATATAATAGTGATGGGAGTAGATCGGGGTTGCACTTTTTTAAATTCCCGACTAAGAATCCAGCCAAAGCACGTTGGTGTAACTTAATAAAACGCCAAGATCGACGAGACGGTTTCCGCGTAAGCGAGAATACAGTAATATGCGAGAAGCATTTTCGGAAACACGACATAATAAAAGGTTTTGGGGGAGTGAGGTGCAGACTGAGAAAAGGTATAATACGTGTTTTGGAGTTTATGTATTGAAGATTTTATGGCACTAAATAAGCTTAAATCATGTAATTTTTATGCAGATCTCCTAAACTGGGACTGTAGAATTGTATAAACTATGATATTCTTTTGTCGTCTGACGTGAAAGAAATAAAACAGTTCATTGTTACTTTATTTTGGTGTTTGTGTTTTTGTTTGTTTTTTCTAGACCCAGTAGTAAATATAAGCTACATATACATGGTGTTTATTCTGAAAACCTTTTCTCACTGTGTCTGCTTCTGGAATTAATTGTAAGTTTTATTTTATTGGATTTCGTTTTGTTTATATTTCATTCAATGAGCTTTCTTTACAAAACATAAAATTTTCTCGTAGCAAGCATGAAGAAGACCAGCTATATACATTAATTTTTTGGGGGTTTCAACTGAAGAAAAATGAAAAGAAAAAAAATATACAGTTCTGTGGAGGACTGTTGATCTCTCTCTCACACACACACACACATGTCGGAGAGACTTCGCCTTCAAATTAAGGTTTATCACTAATCTTCTATTGCATCAATGCATAAAATTCACATTCCAAATTTAGGAGTGGAACCATCAATATTTGACTGGTTGTCAGTTTCACCTCTGCCAGCACGGAAACCACCAAAGGATCGATCAACATATAAATGTACCAGTTCGACAACAGAGGAGAGAGCAGAGAAAGATGTAAACTTCAAACCGAGTTCGTGCCCCTCAGGTGCAGAAGAGAAAGCAGAGATGTCATGTATGGATAAAGATGCAGACTTTGAAACCATATGTCCTTTGGGAGAAGTTGAGGTATAAACAGAATTTGCTCACTGTGAATCTGTATTACATCCCAAAGTCTTGGGTGACATTCTCTTTGAAGTCCCATGAGGTTTGACTTTTATGTTTGAGTGGCAGGGGTCCTTCCTTCTTTGAGATATATTCCTCTTGTTGCCACATGAAGTTTGTGCCTTTTTTGTTCCTTAATATATGTCCTTTTTTTATACATTTAGTTCACCTGTTCAAACAGTAGCACTGAAGAAGGCGAAATAGGGAGTGAGGTGGTGTTTACAAAACACACTGAAGATAAGTCCACACAGACATGTTTTTCATTTACCTCTGGAGTTGGTGACCATACTTATGCCTTTAGCTTTGGAGATATCAATGACATAAACAAATTGACGCAGTCTATACATGAGCAGCTTGAAGTAAAGGAGGAAATTTTAGTTAATCTTCAGAAAAAAGTTGGGCAGCTGCAAAAAGAAATTGATGAGTACAAACAAAGGCAATTTACTCTTGAAAAATTCAAAGATGACAATTCTGCTATTCAATTCTACACAGGGTTTCCCAATTACAAGGCCTTAGTAGCTTTCCATAATTACCTTCAACCAAAAGTGGCCAAGCTGCAATACTGGGGTCCAAAAAATGTTCCAGACTCTAGACCATACCAGGGGGAAGGGAAAAAGAAGCCAGGCCCCAAGAGACAATTAAGTTCTTTAACTGAACTGTTTATTGTCCTTGTCAGGTTAAAAGTAGGTCTTTTTGTTAGAGATATAGCTGACAGATTTGGAATTTCTGTAGCAAGCTTTAGTAAGATATTTTGTACATGGATTAATTTCTTGTATCTTGAGTTGCACCAATTATTTCCTTTCCCTTACCAGGAAGCAGTGCGGAGAAACATGCCACGGCAATTTGCCCTGTACCCTACTACTCGTGCTAATATTGACTGCTCAGAGGTTTTTGTGGAGGTGCCATCCTCAATGTTGGCCCAGTCACAGACCTGGTCCAACTAAAAACATCATAATACATTCAAAGTATTAGTTGGAATTTCTCCAAATGGTCAAGTAATTTTTGTTTCAAAGTTGTGGGGTGGTAGGGTTTCAGATAGGTTCATAACAGAGAAGTCTGGGTTTGTACAATATCTTAAGCCTGGGGATAATGTCATGGCTGATCGTGGTTTTGAAATCACGAGTATTTTACCACCAGGTGTTGACCTTAATATACCTCCATTCAAAGGTTCCAGGGCTCAGCTAACAGCTGAAGAAGTAACTGAGACCATTCATATTGCCTCTGTCCGAATTCATGTTGAGCGGGCAATAAGGAGAATCAAGAACTACCACATACTTGATGGCACACTACCTTTGACCCTGGCCCATATTGCAGACCAAATATTTTCGGTCTGTGCTTACCTGACCAATTTTCTGCCTCCTCTTCTCCCCCCTGCATAAAGCTCATGAAAAGGGGAGGCTTGGGTATTTGCAACTTTTTTACTGTACCTTTCAATAACATGCAGCTATCATTAGGATAGTATAGTAGTAGTATAGTATAGCTATAGTAGTTTCTATAGCTATAATGAACAGCTGCATTTTATCCTATCATCAGTCATCTAAGAAGGCATCTCAGGAAACAGAAGTTCACCTCAACAGTCTTTCTAAGCCATGCAATATGCTTGTGAAATTTTAGTAATTTCAATAAATAATATGTTTTTGATTTTTGATTTTATTTCTAATTAACTTCTATCATGATAAATAGAAACAAAATTATATGCACTTGTAGCGTGTGTTGTGTGTTACTGAAAGGTTAGTCAGTCAGTTAGTGAGTCATTCAATCCTCTTGGTGCCTTGTGGCACAAAAGGCCTTGTTACTGAAAGGTGCAGTATCACTATTAATACCTTCGTGTGCTTATTGTGCTGAATCAAAGGTTACCTGACACTACAGATAGTAAGTATAAATTACATAACATAAACAGTTTTATATGTAGTCCAGTAATAGCAACAGTAATAACTTTTATTTATTGTTTAAGGTATAATATTGTAATGTTTAAAACAAACTGCACTTGAGAAAAATATAATAATTGTCAACTCATAACAATATCAAGGATTTGTATAAAAAAAATTGCATTCAGACACTTGAATCCCTTAAACTGCAAAGTCAACAACATTGTCCTCCTTATTTGTTATAATTATCTAAACATATTTCTGTTACTTCATTCTCATGATCTGTTTGTACTGGTACTGTGAGAAGGAATTTTACATCTATCATTAGAGTTTATCTCAAAGTGAATAGATGTTCAACCTTTATGGATGTTCATGACAACAACTGATTTCAGTAAATATTTTTGTTACTTCCTCTTCACTGTTTTGAAGCTTTTCCAACCCCCATGGTTATATAGTTTGACACCTCGCTCAATTCTCCTGGTGAACATTTCAGGAAGGAAAGCTCGTTTATAGAAAAAATCTATCCTGGGGAGTACTGTTTGGTACCACCAATCCTTGTTAAAATAAATACGTTCAATAAAAACATTATTACCTCCAAACCACACAACAAAATCTACCCATTCTAAATTGCAGACGTACATTTGACCCTGGACTTGGTAGTAATATTTATGTCCAAACTTAAGCCTAGGAACCCCATCATCATCTATATACAAGCAAACATTTGGATCTTTACATGCTTGTTCAATTGTCATTCCCCTCTTACAGTATGGGCATTTGACTTCCAGGCCTCCATCTTTCATGCCAGAGGCCTTCGGGTCATACACTTTTCTGTCCAAACTGGCACCATAACCTGGTCTTTCCTTTGATAACATTGTTCCAACTTCCTCTACCCGCAACAAAGTATTCCCCTCGGCAGCTTTTGCAGCAACATAACTTGCAACAGCATCACATTCATGTTCCTGGCCATACTGTAAGGATGCTATACTTTTCTTCTTTTCAGAGATGTACATTATGTTTCTAAGAAGTTTATCAGGTTCTTTCCGCCTTACAGCTGCATTATAAAAGTTAGAGGCTGTTAACTTGTCACGTTTGAGTTGCCTCCAAACTTCATTGTTACTTTGGCCCCTTGTCAATCGTTCAACTGTTTCAATGTCCACATTTGAAATATTCTGCGTATCTGCAAAGCAATCCATCATGCTTTGGAAATGAGAAGATGATATATCATAATCATCGTTGAATGGTAAATCTGTGATTTCGTTGTCAGTAACAATATCAGGGGCATTTTCAGGAACTGTTTCGCAAATGCAGTCGATTTCAACATTTTCATCAGCAGTTGGCTGAGGAGAAACATCATGAAACAAAAAATAGCAGCTGCTTTGTAAGCAGTTACTTAGTTCAGCTGAAAGTTGACTTAGTGCCTCCTGGTTTACTCCCCTGTCTGCTGGTGCCCTGGGGTCAAACTTACTGACTTTGGCGCATTTATCAGTTTCTTTACCAAACCGATATTTTGTGATGACTATATTATCTACTGGTTTAGGGTCCACTTGCACATTCCTGGGAGCATTCCAGCTACAGAGTACAAGAAACTGGCTCTTCATGTTCTTTAAGTCCCCGACGACAGAAATCTTCAATGGCAAAGAGTATCCCACCAACATGATTACAGTGCCCTAGACCATTTACTCCTCTCCTAAAAATGTCAATCATCAGAAATATCTTGGTATTTAAGAAATATGTTGGGGTTTTCTGTTACAAGGCATGATTAAATACATTAGAGTGAAAAAAAAAGGAAAATGTGGCTCTTTTTCAAATCCCATTATTATTGCTCCTCTAAGATGTGTGTAGCATTATCTTCAAACCCTTTGCGGGATATTATCCAGTCATTCCTCCTAACTATTACACCTCGTCAACCTTGCATTTTGACACTTACCCTGCTGGACACTGGCAGGCTGCCTTAAAGATTTCTCCAAGGTGGCTCATTGTGATCATGAGCTTGTATTTCTTCTGTTTCATGGAGGCCAATACTTCTCCCTTAACGAAGGTAAGTCCGCCTTTTGCACCAATATGCGTATTTCTGATGTGTCCCTCTTTGAAGAACTGAAAAGCTTTCAATTTTTTGTATCCTGACGTGCGAATTGAAGCGTGATCGTATTTTGCTGTTTTGATAACAAGATAATCGTACAACTGCACAAAATTGAAAGGTGGTAGTCCTCGTAAGTCGGTAGCCCATATGCAATCCGCCGCTTCGGCCACAAGGCTCTCATAAGTTATATCAGCATTTTTCGTGCTACAGCTAGACGCAACAAGTAATAATGGTGCATTTTCTTGCTCGGGCGCTACTTTAGTAGGTGTTTTTGGCCTTTCAAAAAGTACCTGACAACGTAACACTAAATCCGCCTTCTTTCCGGTCACGGGCTGCCCCCGATCACGTAAAATTTTCTTTAGCTCTTCCACTTTCAGCTTCTTGATCGCTTCTAATGATTCGCTCATGGGCGCAGCAGGAATTTCCATAATAAATCAAGTAAACTTTTCAGCTTCTCACGATCGCTTCGTATACTTTACATGTTTTGCTGAGTTGGAATACAGGGTTAGCCTCGACCCGGTGCAAAACTTGTGCCTGCTAGTCGAAAATCCAGCGGTTTCTCAGAAGGAGCGGGGAATTCGAAACTGGACTATTCGAAAGTATGCGGCCTATAAATTCTGGTTTTAGATATTTGAAAGGCAGCTTATTTTTTTGGAAGTTGTACCGAGTATTGTTGATCCTGAAAACAAGTTTTATTCTCTCGCTTACAAAGTTCAACAGTCCTTTTTTGTTCCGGCAAAAAAAAAAAACATGAATAAGAGAACAACGATCGCTGAGATAGAAAAAGTCCTATCTCAGTGATCGTTGTCGCTGCGATCGCTGGAAAGTGGTTTCCATATGATCGCTGAACTTTTTTTTTTTTGTCAGCGATCGCAGCGATCACAGCGATCGTAGCAATCATATGGAAGCCAGGCTTTAAGTAGAAAGAGTTGCGTTAGGGAATAAAATTGGAAAAGCTAGTTGACACTAATTAGATATTGTTTTATTGAGTGGAATAACATGATGTGAGTAGAAATATATTTCGGCAGTTTCAAATGATAATTTTCTTGGAAGTTAATACCGTTTCATGAAGCATAATTTGATTGCAGATGTTGTAAAGCCTAGGTGATTTCTTAAAATCGTTTGAGAAAGCAAGACAGCCAGAAACGCTTGTAGTCACTGTTTGGACGCCGCTTGTTTTAAGTTGAAATTTGGCGGTCCACGGTAACGTATTCTGCCTAGGACTCCACATCCACGGCCGCCGTAGTAAAGGTCACCACAGCTATTTGCTATAAATCCCTATTATCTTTTATCTCCCGTTTCATGCCACATAAAGCTCCGAACTCTCAACCTTAATCAAGCTCAAAACTATGACATGAAATTCTTTGCAACAAGAAAAAAAGAATGGGAAAGATGTCTTAGATTCAGTCAGTGACACAGGCGGCTAGGAAGAAAGGATCCGAGTGCAAATATTGCCAAAAAGATTACCTGGGGAGCAGTTATAGTACCAATTCCAGACTGTGGGGTCCCCCAAGCAAGAACTACTTCTGTTTTGTTTTTACTCGTTGCTCGCAGGTTTGTGACAGGTCCTAAAGAAAAAAAGAAAAGTTGGTAGTAACGACGCAGTCTGAAACCCCGCGCACACGGACGGAACGTTGTTCGATGTTACATGTTGCGTCCATTTGCACGCATAATCCAATCATCAAACTGTTGACAAAAGGAATACTGCTTTCTAAGGTGTCATATCTGGATTCCAACTTCGCAATAACCCTGGGTTTTGTTAATCCTGCTTCGAACAACCTGGCCTTGAGGTAAATGTGTATTGCATGACTAATTGCCTGGCCACAACAAGTCCACGCGGTGACTGAATGATACCTCCAGCGTGGATGACAATATAGTACTAATCACATGATTACTATGTTTTCATCTATGAACTAGATAATATCGCATAAGAGAGTGGGGAGGGGGGGGAGACCAGGAAACCTACTCATGTTAAATAAAACATAACTTGACAATGAAAACAGGTGTCAACTCCTACCCAGTAATTCTAAAGGAAATACACTTGCGTAACAAAGGAGAAACTATTAAAATTTTGATATTTTCAATCTTTCATTCGAATAAGCCATTTGGGATGAAAGATTTTTCTTCTGTTTAATAAGTGTTAAATTTTTAAGCAACCATACCTGTCGGTCGGAAAATTGAAATTCTGACAGACTGAAGAACAGAGAACTGCCCATCACCATCCTCCGTACTGTGAGCTTGCAACTGAGTAAAGAATAATCACACAAATTACATACTAACATTTACAGCAAGTGGCCATGCATGGGTTTATTAGGTAACATAACATTGTACTTCTCAAACGGATTAATAATTGATAAAGAAAATACAAAGGAAATTAATGTTTAATGAGTGTTTGGAAATCAGATGAAAAACTGCTCATTTTTGCATCCTTCATTTCTCCTTCTAAAATCATTTTGTTTGAGAAGTAATATCAAGCATTCGACACAGTGTTTCATCAACAGATGAAAGACCTTAAGTTCGTCAAAAATACTCCGCTGCGCATCGTATTTTCAACTCTCTCAATTATTGATAGCGTGAACGCGAGATGAAGCGCAAACGTTTACTCAGGTAATGTTTAGACAAGCAATCTATGATGGCATTTGAAGCAAAATTAAGCCCACCTTGATATCATAAGTAATACTTGGCGAAAGTCCTGTCAGTAGATATGAGTGGACATTTCCAGTTACAACAGATTGGAAATTCAGTTGAGTGTCTTCCTTGTAATTTATCTGTAGAAATATAAACATATATTTACTTGTTACACTGTTTTAAGCCTTGTAATATAGACATTTTAATTTCTTGGCGAACAAGCATGTCTGGCATGTGAAAGACGCTAAGTTCAGAATGTAGTATAACTTGGAAGGTTTTAAAGCAAGCGGTGCATTTCAATCCCCCTTCAAACTCCTGTAATTTGTGCCTGTGGGGAAAATATTTCATCATTTGCACCCGTACTTGAACAAGCGTAATGAGCTTGTAACTCCCTGCAGGCACGCGCGTAAATTTCTTTTTAGCAGCTTTACATCTTCTGTTGCCACGCAATAGTATCTGATTCAAATTCAGCGCTCGTATGTATACATGTATCAGTGTATGCTGTAACGAACTTTTCATTGGTAATTTTATCTGAGGTGTGTCGCACATGTTGAAGCTAGTTGGTGATAAATGCCAAGTCGGATCTTACTTTGATCAGATCACCTTGATTATATATTTTGATGTTAATCTACAGAACTCTTTATTCAAACGCTTGTCCAATGAACGTGCGTGTTACCTTATAACTCGTGACCGCAAGACAGTACGTTACTGGTGTTTCCCAGGTTATCTGTATTCTGTCAGTCCCTTTAGAAACATGCTGTATATTTCGTGGAGGACTTGTTGCTTAAAGAGAGAAGATCACGCTTATCACGTTGGCTTTCTTAGACTAAATCTGAGACGGCATTGCGAATTTATAATAGGGAGAGCATCGACGACGGCGACGTCGACGAGAACACCAAAAAAGCAATAAGTTTAGATAGAAAAAACATCAATTCTGCACGTGCATCACGCTTTTTTGTACAATTCATTTCTTTCTTCCGAAAACGCCTAACTTAACGTTTTGTCGAGGACGTGAACACAAGAAAGCGACTTTCTTTTTCTTTTCCTGAACTTCGATAAAGTCCTCTAGACGTCAACTTTAGAAAAAATTTCCAAGTGAAGATTTGACGAACTGAACGAGGTGGAATAAGCGCAATAAAGTTTCAGGCAGTGCGAATTCACTTCTTAAGTTTTTAAAATGACGCTTTCGTAACCGTCGCCTTCGTTGTTGCTTAAGGCCGCGGGGGCACCTATCGATCAAATTCATAACGCAAAGTTTTGCTCGTGCTACATCTTTAAAACGCTTATATCTCGGATTTTTTTTAGAAGCGATTTAGATAATGCTCTACAGAGACATCGTGAAATGATGGAAGTTTAGGAGTGATGACCCTGGGAGAGAGGTTGGTCATTTACTTCTTTTGACTCTGACACCTTGAATGTGGACTGATCAGATGCACAAAGATAAAGAACTTACTGACTGATGTTGTTTTGACTTTGACGGTGTCCGAGAAGGGCCCTGGTTGCATTCCCCACAGCAGTACTTGAACTTTGAACTCATATTCCGAGCACGGTTGCAAGTCAGTAACCAGGTAATAGCTCAATGTCATAGTGTCTTTCGCACGCCAGACATCAGAAACTGGTATAGAGTGAAGAGAGGCAGCTCTACAATTAAAATAATCAACACGGTCAAACAACTTTCCAATAGCCTGTACCAGGCTCCAGGGTAGTGGGGAAAGTGGATCGAGAAGATTTGTGCTAAAACCGCGCGGGGGCTGGGGAGAGACGAAGTAATGGAGCCTGTAAGCATTGTTTTCGATACTTCATTTCGGTATGCCAGCTCCTGATATACCCTATGATTGGTCAATTGTGACAGTTTACTTTAACACTTACGTCAATCATTTGGCTTCAAGGGCGCAAAGTCTAAGAAACATGTCGAGCATGTGTGAAACCCTCCCAGACCACAACTTGACGTTTTGACATTTGACATTTTAACACGAAAAACGGTTTTTTCACGAGCCCTCCCCTTCTCTCGATCCGCCGTTTTTCGTTTATTCGCTGATTCACTGCTCGCCCGCTTTTTGGCGCGTCTGCACTGACCTACAGCCTTGCACAGATTAACTTTCCAACAACCGATTGAGACAACAGAGGAGGAGAATGTGGTTATTTGAAGGTTGAGAATGACATTGTAGACAATGGGTGGATTGACCAAAGACAACGCTGTGACAGTGATGACGGCGCGTAAAGATCCACCAGTGATGGAGGAGCAAATAGATTACCGGAAGTGGCGTTCAGTCCTTTCCGCGCGTTTTCGCGTTCTCCCTTGATTTTGCCTTGTCTTTGGTATGTCTGCTAATTGACACCATTTTGCATCATGAAGAGAATATGTGTATGGTAGCACTGTTGCTTACCTGTAAGAGATCCTGGATCCAATTATTGTAACATTAAGTGGTTTGTGAGAAACTGGAGTCCATCTGAGGCTAACTGAGGCTCCACCAGTTAAAGGAAGTGCCGCCAAATTTGTAACTTTTAGGGTGTTCGCTAAGAAAAAGGATCAAGAAAATCGATTTCACTGAAAATACTAATAAGCGGAGAGTCGTTTGCGAGCAAGCTCTCCAATCGCGTCTCCTTTCGCGTGCGGTTCCTGCGTGACTTCTCGAGACTCCCCCAAATCGAGAGGGTCATGTAGCAGCTGCTAGGAAGAGAAGTCACCAATGGTGCCTTAACCCTGACCCCCAAAAATACTGAAACAATTGAAATGCCATGTTACAGTGGAACCCCGCCTTACGACCACCCCGTTTATAAGACCACCTCGTTATTACGGCCATATTCTTTCAAACCAAACGTAAAAACCATTGAGTCATTTTATTATTTTGAAGACCCCGTTAATGCGACCACCTCGTTATTACGACCAGGATTTTATGGCCCAACGGTGGTCGCATTAACGGGGTTCCACTGTATTGTTTTCTGCGACCAATCAGGAGAGACCTTACGAGCAGCTCCTACACACCTGAATGGAGAGCTTGCCGCAGGGTCTGTAGAGATTGGAAGCTCTCGTGAGCGGGCACCCGCGGGACGCGGAAAAGGTGTCCATCAACTCGTTGGTACGTTGTTTCGAAAATAATCAATTAGTTATCACCTCTGGTTTTCCTTGCCTAGTCCCTATACGGCGTCTTTCCAAGCCCTCTCGGTCAATGCATTTCAGTGACGTATCCGAGACGAACGGCCGGGAGACGCCTAAACAATCTCGGAGTGCGCATGCGTGAGCATTTTATTTTTGAAAAGTTCCCAGGTTCAACTGAAATAATCTATAAATAACTTTGCGCGTGAAGATCGGCACTAACCTGGTTTCTGTTATCAAAGAACAAAAATATTACTTTGAATCGGAAAGAATACTACTGTATAACGTGCAAGCAATTTCTCTTTTCCGCGCTGCTCAAAGATGTCCAGCAGCCATGGCGAGCATAAAGAGTTAAACCGAGCATTTTTATTCTATGCACGTTTTCATTGTTGAAAGTCCTTTGGCCTCTCTTTTTCATTTATCTCATTCAACTAATTTGAACTTTATTTCACCTCAAAAACTATTTGTAGGCTAAGCAAAACAGCGTCGCAAAAAAATTATTTGATCAAGAATCGGAAGGTAAGCTAAAGAAATAGGTTTATATGTATTCTTGGATATGAAAAGCTATCTTTCGTTTCTCTATTTTCGCTTGCTCCTATAAATTTCTCGTTATCCTTTCACTTGAAATATTTTATGTGATTTAATTTTTGGATTTGGAAGCTTATCAAACTAATCGGACAGGCTGTTGAATTTGGTCTCTAAATTTGGTAGAATGTCAACAAACTACCGGTGCTGTTTCAAATCGTTTTATCAATAAAGAAATACATTTTAATGGTTCATTTGAAAATGAACTAAAAGTTATTGACAGCTCGCCCGCTTCCAAAAGCTCCGCCCCAAGTGAGACAAAATGTCTCACTTCTCCGAGTTTGTCTGGGCCTCAAAAACTTTCTCGGACCACGTGACCCGAAACGCATCGGCCGCGCATAATAATGAGGCCTAGGGACTAGGCAATGGTTTTCCCACAGTAAATTTTAGGAAATGATAAAAATTCAGATTATAAATATACTATCCTTGTTCTGGAAACACAATACTTTTCTTGCTGTTTATTGCACTTTATTAACAGTTATTTAGTTATATATTTAAAAACAAAAAAAACAAACAAAAAAAAACAGCAAAACAAATAAGCAAACAAAACAAAAAAAAAAAAAAGGAAGAAGGGAAAAAGAAGGTCAATAGCAGAATTTGAACCCGGTACCTTCGGGTGGACCCGACCTCACACATAATTTGGTGAAAAGTCTCAAATTTAATGCCATTTTTAATGGAGCTTCCGCCGGCAAACGATCGAACCATACTTAACCGATTGAAAAAACGACTCGAAGCAATCGGATGAAATTAAGGCTAATTGAAACCAGGCTACTGACAGTAAAAAACAATGTAAACGTATTTCATGGCAATGAAAGAACATATGCCATACAAAGCCGACACAACAGCAACAACAACAACAACAACAACTCCTCGACTCCTCGACTCCTCGACGACGACGACGACGACGACGACGACGACGACGGCGGCGGCGACTCCTCGACGACGACGACAACGACGAAGAAGAACAAGAACAAGAACAAGAACAAGAACAAGAACAAGAAGTGCCTTTATTTACCATACATTCATTCATACACATACAAGCCAGCGTTGAAGTTGAAGGAGTCGAAGAGCAAATGCTCATTTTCTCGTCAAGTTTAACTCCTGGACGAGTCAAAGGCTCTAGAATCGCACTGATCTGAAAGATTCCTGCGTGTCTTTAATTTGGTAAGACCTACATCCTCTAACCGTGCTGTAGCGCACGATGCACGCTCTCAGCGAGAAATTTGATGCCACCGAACTTTAGCGAGCGCGTGCTTCTTTGGAAACGATAGATCTCGAGTTTGAACCAGATTAATTACGAAGCACGTCTACTAACGAGTGAGCGAGTCACTCATTTGCATATCCCTGTACCTGCAATAACTCGTGGTACGCACGAGTTTAAAATTCAGAGTTTGTATGGGATTTGAGTAAAACGGGGATCTGTGAAAGCGGCCGTTTGTAGAGCTGTCCCCTTAGGACAGTGTCGGTTAGGAAAGCTTTCAATGTGGCTCATAAGTACCTCTCAAAGACGAACGGTATGACCTTCTAGAGCCTCAGTGAAATGGGGCAATGAAAAATATGGCTACCAGGAGCAAGAGCACTCTTGGTCACTACAGACACAAGCTGTTATTGATCATATTCTAAATGATACACCCTTGTAGTTCTCCAACACTGAAGAGGCTCCTGTGGTTTTTAACGATCACAATGAAACCAATTTCAAAAAGGTATGTGGGGATGGAGGGCTTGTGTAAATAATAACTAGCAGTAGCCGTTGGCTAGCAAGTGCGGGCGAAACCGCTTTCATGGTGAATGCCATTCACGTTAGTGCCAACAAAACAAATCACTGCGGATCAAGAAAACTGGATTGAACAACTCAGTAAACAAGACTCAAATTTTCAACGATTTATTCGCAGTTGCTTAGATAAAATTAGTCTGCAAATGTTAAGGAGCGAGGAGAGACGTTTTTATTCGCCGGCAAAGATACATTGAAACAGTAACGCGTGACACAAGTAACGCGTGACACAAGTAATGCGTGTATACAGTCACGCACGAAGTCTTATTATTTAATCGAATATTCAATCCGTGTTCAATGACCAAAGGCCGTTGATATGCAATACAAAACTAGGAGTCATCGGAACTTACGAGAGTGCGTTCGATATGTTTCTTAGGCGTACAGACGGGTAACAGTTGAGGGGGAAGATGGGATGGTTCTTGCGATAGATAAATGTGATTGTGGCATATTTTGAACGTAAGGGTTGCGTACAACGCAACTTCTATTTAAACAGTGTACCATTATAAGAAGATTTTGCAAAGATATCGTATGGTTCAGTGTCAAAGTGCTTGTAATCGGAGGAGACAGTGGCCAGAGTGCGTAGGGCGTGTAAATAGAACATTTTAACTTTTTTTACTGGCGCCATTACAGGGTGCAGTTGTTCAAAGGCCGATTAGAGCTTAACCCGGAATTCATTTTCTTTCTTCAAAAACACTTCTTCGGATAATTTTCTCTTTTATTTTTAAGAGCATCCAATCATCAACTTGTTGACAAAATGAATTAAACTGAATTTACTTTTTTAAAAGCTTTCACATCTGAATTCAAATTTCGCACTAACCCTGTCAAAGCCTTCAGTGGAATGTGTGTGCGGCTCACGTCAATAACTTTTCCAGTAGTTTAGTCGAGCGTGTTGATTTCAGTGACTCGAGAGTGGCGCTACTGTGGGCTGGTTTATAAGTTTTAACAAATAAATAAAATAGAGTTAAAGTGTTCGTTTGTCTGGCGCCGAAAATATCACAAGTCATGATCAGATGGCGCCGCCGAGCTACACAACTCGGTAAATTTACTCTTTGGCCTGACAACGGCTGCCGAGCTACACAACTCAGTAGATTTACTTTGTGACACAAAGGCAGCCGAACTAAACCCGCTTTGAT